TCACCCGGTCCTTCCCGCGACGGGAAGACCGGACGGACTTCCGCGCGGGCCGCTTCCCCGGGCCCTTGGCCTTGCCCTTTTCCCGCGTTTTGGCAAGGTTGCGCGGGCTGGGGCTCATCGCGAAGAGTTTGCGCCGCGTGTGGGCCTCCGCCTCGGCCGAGGAGACCGTCATACGGTCCCAAAATCGCCGAATCACGCTGTTCACCGTCTCGTTCATCGACACCGTCATTGCGGCCGGCTTGCACGTCGCGTTCGAGACCCACAGGATTTGGTCAAAGCAGTCGGAGATGTGCTTCCACCGCGCATCTTCCTCCTCACGGAGCAGGTGCAGCTCGTCATCGTCGATTTCGTCATCCGCCGTGGAGACGAGCAACCCTTTTCGGCCCTTGTCATTATGGGGGTTCAGCTTATTGAGCAATCCATCGCGAAAATTGCTGACACTTCGGGTTTTATTGCCTTTGCTTTCTAGTGCATTCATCGTCTTACGACTCTGCATTCGCGAGGCGCTATTGGGAAAGTAAATCGATTCCTCAATACCAGAATTGCCCAAGGAATGACTTCGAAGGTTGTAGGTATCAATATGGTGTAAAAAAAGGTTCACGTAGTTCTTGCAGGCGATCTTCAGCGCGGGAAAGTCGCCATAATTCAAAAGTCCTAGCCGTGATTTTGACATTTTCAGGATGTGGAGAGCAGAGGATTGATATTTCTTTCCGCGATGCCCGCCATGAGGGTCATCCCGTTCGTTTTGATTAAACCCTTCCTTTAAAAGAAATGAAAAGACGTTGGAAAGACGTCTGCTACTGGTGGCGGAATCATCTTGAATGGTTGTCCGATCCGAAATGGAGTCCCTTTGCGGTGTATACGAAAACGAGACACGCTCTGTATTTATGCTGCTTTGATAGCTATTCATCTTTGAGATTAGATTCACTCCATTTTCGCGTTTGTTAAACCCATCCAAAGCCTCATCGATGGAATCAAACGCGTGATTTCGGACCCTCTGGTCGGTGTTTGAGCAGCAGAAGGAATTATTCATATCCATGGGGATATTTTCGTCGTCCTCGTCCTCTTCGCGGAGTTGGTGTCGGTGTAATTTCTCGATAAAGTAGAACTGCTTCGTCGCCATTGCGAGGGCGGGATGGCGGAGGGAGTTCCGTCGACGATGCGAGAAGGAACTCACGCGGGGGTGCAAGGCGATGAGAAATTTGATTTCGTCGGAAGATTTTTGCAATAACGCGAGCCGCGTATCAACAGGGATGGAGGTGCATAGCGAAACGAAAAGAGATTTCATCACGCGAACATCGTTTCGCGTCCAGTTGGATCTCGGCGAGCTGGGAGCGCTTTTGTTTGCCATAATCCGAGATCTTTATTATTATTATAGATCATAAAAAAAAAAAAATGAGAAAAGGGAGAAGAAAGCAAGAGTACAATAACTAATTTATCATAGCTATAGCAAACATAACAAAGCAAGTCAAAAAGTTTGCTAGCATCAATACATGTTGAATAAAAAGTGGAAGATAAATTTTTTTGTGATTCTGGGCAAACGTTCGTTCTTGGGCTCAAATAAAGAGGGAAAAGAGGGAAGCACATGCATCTGTGATAAAAGGTATTCCTTTCGTCATGTGATGTGATTTTTTAAGTTTTCGTTTTCTCCTTTTGTTAAAATGTTGAATTTCAAGCCTCCCCCGCTTTTCCTTCCTTTCACGCTTCACATTTCTTAAATACATATTCATTATTATAGTTATTACTATTTTTTTAAATCAGTATTATATAAATAGGTCCCACAACTATATCATGAAAACTTCCCATCCCGTTCTCATATTCAGCACCATAGGGTTAGAAATAAACATCATAGTGAAAACTGAATTTAAATCAGCAGCATTGTGATTCTTTTACGCAAAAGCAAAAAACTTCAATAATATTGGACACTTTAAATTGTGTATGATATAAGTTAAAGAACTTGGTAGAGTTATAAATAAAGCGCATCACAACACAATAATTGTAAAATAAACAAACAACAACAAAGGAGAGATAGTGCGAAAAAGGATAATATTTTACTTGAATAGTCATTTATTTCTTTCTGTTCAACTTGCATTAGATAATCTTTTTCAACTATTAGGGACCTTTCTCTTCATTTGTGTTGGGCACACCAATTTAACAACAACAACAAAATAATCACCACAAAAAAGATTCTTCAACCTTTTTTTGCCCAGTTACATATTTCTTATTTTTTTCTTTAGTAACGTCTAAACTTCACTAAATAAACGGACATGAATAAGATGTTCCACTTCTCCCCTTAAAAAAAAAACCAAATCCCTTCTAAACCATGGCATATTCACGAGTCCAATCCGCTGCAGTCTTCTCAAAAGCGCTTTTATCGCTTTTGTATTGTCGGGCGATATCCGGAACGAGCGGGTCCTCCGGATTCGGATCGGTCAGCAAGGAGCAGACGGAAAGGAGCACCTTCGAGATCGTCAGCGCGGGCGACCACTGCTCTTTTAGAATATCTAAACAAATCCCTCCATTGCTGTTAATATTTGGATGATAAATCTTCGTCAAGAACTGCACACGAGGGGGCTTAAAGGGATAATC